AACTTTGGGCTCATCCTTCAAGTGTTTGTTCTTTTCTATATCTACCCATATCTAAAGCTATATTTTTAAAAGAAAGTTTGTTATGCCATAGATATTAAATTATGGTTTTTAAATTAACAATTTATTGTGAACATTTTCATCATTTATGTTTTTCTATAATTTTTAATAATCATATATTTCCTCCTGTGAGAATATCATAATTTATTGAATCATCCCCTATTGATGGACATTGAAGTTTAAAATTTTTCAACAGACACTACTGTAATGACTATCATTGTAAATGTATCTTGCCTATATTCATGACGATTTCATTGGGATAACTTCCTAGAAATAAAATTGCTGGGACAAAGAGTAATCAAAAGTCTTAAATGTGCTGGGCATTGCCACATTGTATAATACATGGCAGTAATTCAAGTTCCTTTAGCAGTATAGCATATGATACCCAAGAGGCTGCCTGTGAGTTGTATGCAAGTTCTCCCCACTGCATGTGTTAGTTGTGATTATTTCTTATTGTGTGATGTACCTTGTAATAATCAATGCACCAGTTATTTCTCTTGTACTAGACATTAAAGTTAAAATTCGGATGTGGAAAGACCATGTAAAATTTGAATTAAAAACCTATTTTTTAAATTAGTGGTAGATCTAGACTTATCAGATTCTCCAACTAATTTATAATGCAAAAGAATAGATAAATGTTTAACCATCTCCAACAAATACATTTGCTAATCATGAATAAATATAATTCCTGCATGCAAGCATTAAAAAAATAGACTTAGAAAGAGCAGTTTTGGTTTCATAGCATAGTTTAGGCATCTTATAAGAAAAAAGGGACCAGATATTTATTTTTTAAGTGAAAAAATAGTTAAACTTTTTATAAGGTAATATTATAATTGGTTAATAATTAGCAGTACTTACAGTAAGGAACTATTATTTTGTAGTAGCCACAAACATGGTGAAGGAGATGAAATTATTTAGAGATAATGACAGATTTAAAACGTAAGCGGCTGGATGTGGTGGCTCATGGCTGTAGTCCCAGCATTTTGGAAGGTTGAGGCAGGCAGATCACCTTAGGTCAGGAGTTTGGGACCAGCCTGGACAACATGGTGAAACCCCATCTCTACTAAAAATTCACAAATTAGCTGGGCATGGTGGCAGATGCCTGTAGTCCCAGCTACTTGGGAGGCTGAGGCAGGAGAATTGTTTGAATCCAGGAGGCGGAGGATGCAGTAAGCCAAGATTGTGCCACTGCACTATAGCCTGGGCAACAGATTAAGACTCCATCTCAAAAACAAAAATAAGCAAAACAGATCATATGCTTATTACATTTTTTCTTTCTTTTCTCTAGTTAATATTCATGAGAATTTGCCCTGAAGGAGAAAAGATTTTCAATGTATTGGCTACCAGAGAATTTTTTTTCTCACAGTGGCATTTCCGTTTGTAATAAGATGAATATGTGGCAGCCTTGAAAGAAAATAATTTATTTTAATACAATTACTTGTTACATGTTTATATGCCACAAACCTACTTTTCAATTAAAATAATAACTCTGATTCTTCTTTTATCTTGCTTCAAACACTATTCTGTTAAATACTAGATATATAGTAGGTGCTCAATAAATGCTTGATTAACTCATTGAACTGGAAACAGCTGTTAATAAGTTAAAGATTCTCATCATGGATCTGCCTTGCTGTGAAGAGTATTAGGTGTATGACAACATACTCTTTGTTAGGGTCAGAAAAGCACATTTGATATAATCAAAGTGAATGCAATAATTTCAGACCTTATTCTGTGTAGCAACAGCAACTGTTAACATCTCAGTAACATCACCAGTTACTATGTATTTTAAGAAGTCCACTTCTGCTACATATTTAAATTTTCTTAACTATCCTGTTTCTTCAAAAAATAAGTTTTGGCAGAGCAAGCCTACAGAAAAACAATCTAAACAAGATTTAAGCAAATTATCAAATAGGAGGATTATTTATATATATGCACGTGTGTGTGTGTGTGTGTGTGTGTATATATATATATTTTTTTTGAGGTAGGGTCTTGCTGTCACCCAGGCTGGAATGGAGTCATGCAACCATGGTTCACTGCAGCCTTGACTTCCCAGGCACAAGGGATCCTCCCAGCTCAGCCTTCCAAGTACCTTGGATTACAGGCATGTGCTATCTGCCTGGCTAAATTTTTATTTTTGATAGAAACAGGGTCTCACTTTGTTGCCCAGTCTGGTCTCCTGGGCTCAAGTGATCCTCCCACTGTGGCCTCCCAAAGTGCTAGGATTACAGGTATGAGTCACTGCACCCGGTAGGAGGCTTATTTCTTTGAGACCTCACAAGTCCTCATTTAATAGGCCCTTTCTTCTTTCCTACTTGCCAAACACCAAGACGCCTTTGGTGTCTCATTAGACAGGAACATTTTCTCTGTTAAATCCTTGTCAACTAACACTTCAGAGGAAGAGTTTAAGATCCTACTATTTTCAGGAACAATTACATTTTATTATGAAGATCCTTAAAAGCAAAACTTTATGATTTAAAATAGCAATGTATGGCAGAAGGGGTTTTAGATAACAAATTATGGGTGCCATGTGGAAAGTTCTTTTTACCTTTGGAAGCGTTTTCCCAGCATCTCTCAAATCATATCTGATAAGCTGATGCCAAGTTGATTGACATTGTCTCTCCTTTTTGTCAGGATTTAAAAAGTTTTCTTCATAATCTGCCTTTTGTATATACCGTTCTCCTTTCTCTCCTAAATAAAGAAGAAGCTGACTTTTTTCTGCAATCTGCCTTCTGATCCTACTATTTTCTTGAGATTTGTGATGACCCAAAGGCCAAATCCAATGGGTACTTCTCAGTTCCATTCCAGTTTGACAACTCCTTGCTAATGACTTTCCCTTTTGATTTTTTTTTTTCATTTCAGCCTATCATTCTCTTAGTTCCCTTTCCCCCACTTCCAATATTTTTTTCCAAGCACCATCATAAGCTTTTTCTCTTCTTCCCATATGGCATGTTGGTACTCCCCATATATTAGCAAGCCTCTTCTCATTTTGTCTTAAGAGCTTCTCCTGGGGTGTTTTCTTTCACTCTCTTATCTCAGTGCCCACTACTTGCTGACAACCTACCCTTTCTCTGTAGCTCCTGAACATTGCCACTTTTATCCTCCTAAGATGTAAATGAAACAAGCTCAACATCAAGCTCACTATCTCCTATTTTTTTCTTCTTTTGCATTTTCTATCTCCATTAGTGGCCTCACCACTTGTTCAACAACTTTCCCCTCCTAAATCTGCTAATAATTCATATTTATCTTTCAACTCTTACTTCTACATCCAGCTGACCACTACATTATTTTGTTGGTCCTTCTAATTTATTTAACAGCTTCTCTCAGTCTTCAGGGATCATCCTTGGACCTTCACCTCCCCAACCTCTCTTATTACAAAAGTCTACTCCCTATAGGCAAAGTGCCTACATTGTTCTCTTTCAACAGTAGTGTTTTGTCACTGCTGCTGGATATGATCATTAAATGCCTCTTTATTTAAAATTATGGTTACCTCTATGCTTACAAGCAAATCTTTCCTTCTTTCATTCATTCAATTAAAATAATGAATATCTACCAAAAGGCTGAGACTGGGTAAATATTGGTGAACGAAGACGAATAATACTCTATATTGTTTTCTCTATTCAGTAGTCTAATTCCAACTTAATTCTGTGATACCTCTTCTCCATACCCCTCCTCACTGCCTATACCTCACACTGCTTCATTCTGTAAAAGGTATTCTTACTCCAGCTATTCAGATGTATTATACATTCTGCTAACATGTCATGCTCTACCATCCTGAGGGCAGTCTTTCAACCCCTTCTTGCTTCATAAGAACAGATCTTGGACTTGGAACACTATTTTACCAAGGGATAAAGAGTATTCACAGCCTTTGCTGGTCTTGTCATCTTGTGGGGAAATAGCCTTCCTGCTTCAGACTTCATGTGCATTCCTTTGTTCTGCTTAAGTATGTGTGTCATATGGCTTCTCGCCAATCCCACAAGTTTATATCTGTCCACTGTGGGGAGAGGACGAGGTTCTTCTGCAGTAATACAAGAGGGATGCATGCAGGCCAATTGCTTTGCATCAGCTGCTAGGAGAGACCAGCCGGCCATGGGACGCTGACACGCCCTATTAAAGCTGATCTTGCTGTGTCTCATCTCTGTGCGAGAAAAGCAGTATTCCATCCAATATTTGGCAACTGCAATACCAAGACACAGTGGGCAGAAGTGTTTGGATTTCTGCCCTTGATAATAGGCAACAGATGCCGCTGGCTAAACAAATAACAAGTTTCAGTTACCTGGTAGCGTTTATAGAATGCACATTACAGTATTCAGTTAACATTGGGTACTTAAAGAATGCAGTTCTCTTTTTCCTGATTTCCTTCCAGTCATCCTCATCTTCTTTCTAATATCTGAAGTATGAAGAAATTTAAAAAAATTTTTCTTTTAAAGCACATCTACTGTTAAAAATCATCCTCGTTCTAGTCTCACTCTATAACCACTGGAAGAGATGACTTCCTCTGCTTGCTCTAGCTCAGTCAGCAATGTCCCCACCATGGAAATGTGTAACTGTTTGAATTACTTTCTTATTTTTGATGTATGGCAAAATTTCCATGAATACAGAAAATACTTTGTTGTTGAATATCTGTAGTTCCAACATTTTATGTAAAAGTGGCTTTATCATATTGTATATATCCTTGTACCTAAATGAAATCATAATGTTAAAACATTTGCAATTTTCTTTTAAACCCTTAAGATGTAAACCCCAGCTTGGCATTGACTAAATGAATGTGTTCCTGTCTAATTTGTGATATGGGGAATCACACTATGTTTTAGTTGATGCTGTTAATTATTAATCGGACTGTTTTAGTTGATGCTGTTAACTATTCTTTGAGCTTTCCACTATTCAGGCTTTATTATTCAGGTCAACTTTTCTTTAATACCAGCTATTATCTAATTATTTTTCAGAGCTGAACATAAAGAGTAAGAAAACCATATTTAGGAGAGTAATGGAGAAGACCAACAGAAGGAAAGAAGTTTGAGCATTGATCAAGATAGAACAAGCCTATGCTTCACAGCAGACAAACCTCCAGATCTCTTTGGCTTAAATCAGTGCACCCAGGTGACTCTCTAGGAAAGTGTCTTCCATATGTTAATTTAACCATTGAGGCTACTTGGGTCTTGTGACTTCATTGTCTCTTCACAACAGTAAGACACCTTGATAGAAGAAAAGAGTGAATGGAGGGTTCATAACCTTCAAATCCTACTGGTCAAAGGCTGAGAATAGCAGTCAGTATTGCCAGTGAGAACATAACTAGATTTGTCTAAATTTTGAGAAGGAGAGTCAATCACGTGAAAGAACGTGAAGTCTGAGAGAAAACTAACATTTATTGGGTACCTTCTGCAGAAGTTCCAAAACCTTTTTGATTTACAGCACTAAATATCTCAGTATTTTTTTCAGTGGATTCCTAGGCCGAAATAACTAACAGTGCCATGAGTTGAGTGATTAGGTCCAAACAAGTTAAAATGTATTTATACGTTAATAACAGAGTAGCTGCTTGAACATAGTAGTACACATACATAGAAAGAAAGACAATTTTTATTTCAGCCTTAACTATAGATAACTTACTTACTAATGAGATGTGTGGGTTTCTTGGGCACTGGACACCTACCTCTCAGACCTTGTAATCATATTGGATCCACCACCTTCATTTCCTGTTCCAAACGGATTTTCATGTTTACTGGCTTTTTATCTAGCCACAACCAAAACTTAGCTCAGCAGAGATATGACATCAATGAAAGAAATGTAGTATGATCTAATGTTGAAACTGTAAACTACCTTGAGCTGGTAGGTCTCACAGTGGCTGACAGGTTTTGAGTATTGCTATATTTTCCTCAACACTTTAGAATATCCCATGGCTCTCATGTAAGTATGCTGCAGTGCCCTCGGGGGCTTCAGTGCATGGTTTGGGAGCCATACATCTGTTGGCCTAGGTACTATATATAAATCACCTACTTCTTAACGACAGTTTGGAAGGTAGGTGCTATGATTTTCAAGTTGGATGTGGAAAGTCAAGTTTGAGAGGGGGTATGCATTCTACCCTAAACCTCCTAGTTAGTAATTAACAGAGCAGAGGCTTGAACCCAAACCTTCTGGCTTTAAACCCCATTGCATCATGCCATGTGTCATGAGATTTGCAGGATTAAGGTTTTCACAGCTTCCTCTCCCCATGACCTTTCCCTGGTTTCAAGCAACATTGAAATTACTATTTTTTAAAACATGTGGAAATACTTGAAACTCATGGAACTGATTTTAAGTCATGTCTCCTTTTTAAGCTATAAGGCACACCTGCTAGAAAATAAATTTTCGTAAGCAGAGATTAAAGAACTTTACAATGGCCTTAAAATGGCCCCAGGAAAGATTGCTTAAGGTTTGAAATCAAGACAGTAAATTTATAATTAACTTGTAATTATTTTACTGCTAATTTTTAATGTGACATTTAGTAAGAACCACATATCACTTTTCCCCAGCTGGCAGGACAGTTCTTATAAACTAAACCGTCTTCACCAGCTGTTGCCTAATTCAGTATGGTCCATATTGGAATTTTTCCAGCTCTGCCTGAACATTATTACTAAGTCTCAGCAGACCCATGCAAAAGTGAGCCATAACTATAGTCTTTCATGTTACTCATAGTTCTATTTAATTATCTGAAATACTACCTGATAAATAGTGCAATCAGAAGAATTTCAGTTTAACAGTAACTACTTCCACATCACTTTTACGCTGTCATCTAATTTGAAACAGGTTTTGGATTACTACCTCTGAATTATGTAAACTCTTAATCAATGATTAAGAATCTTTGAGCTGCTGGTGTGTGTGTGTGTGTGGTTCTTATGTGTCAGTAAATTCGGCCCTAGTAAAATGCACTTTTTTTTCTTCACTAGACTTTTTAGGCCTTTTTTTTTCTCCTAAACTTGTTGAGGGGATAAAGATGAGCAGCTGGAACCAAGGAAGAGCAAATTCTTACAAAAGAAATTTGTTTTCAAAGCAATGTCACTTCACATAGAAATAATATTTGCATTAAATGCCCCTAACACAGATTATAATTCAAAGAAACATCTGAGTAGTGGAAAACTGTTCTCTACTTAAGAACAAATTCATCAGCAAATGGAAATAGACTAACATTTATTAAGCACCCTGTAAATGCCAGGCATTCTATTATTTTGTTTGAACCTAAATACAACATTGGGAGCTCAATTTTATGACCTTCATTTTGCAGAGGAGGAAACTGAAGGCTGAGAGATTTAAGAAATCTTCCAAGTTTAAAAGTGAATAAATGTTAGTGCTTGCATTCAAAGTCAGGTGAGTCTTACTTTACAGTGATGGCTTTTGCCTACAGGAATGCACTGCCTTCAGATCACTTACATTTTATAATGGTAATTGTATATAAAAACATGATATTAATTTTTTATTTGTCAAATATTTATTTGGTAAATAAAATGTGACCAGCACATTTCTAGGAGTGAACTAATGGCAGTTATGATTATTGACATTTATTAAAGCTATATAACTTACATGTATTTTCTAAAAGTTAGTGATTTATTTTCAGCCTTTCTGTAATTTTGAGTTAGGGATCTCAAAAGATCCCAGGGTGTTGGTAAGGACCTACAATACTGAAAAAATATTGGACTGGATCCCAGGAGACCTGTGTTTGCCTCTTTCACTTGCTACCTCTGTGATCAAACGAATCAGTCTCTAAATCCGTGGCTCAGTTTCTTTATTTGTATAATAAAAGGATTGGAATATATTATCTCTGAGATTCTTCTGAGTACTACAATTCTATGACTTTACTAAACACATTCAACTTTTATAGGTCATTCCCAACAATCCATATGAGTACACTGAAATGGTAGTGGTGTATATAATTCAGAGCTGAACGAAACACCTTCATGTTTGGCCTTGGAAAGTATAAATGAGGTACAGAGAATGAAACTTTTAAAACATGATACAAATTGTATTAGTTTTTCACTGCTTAGAACAAATTATCACTCATTTTGTATCTTAAAACATTACACCTTTATTATATCCCACCCATAGATTAGATGGGTCCTCTATTTAGCGTCTCACAAGGGTACAATTACAATATCACAATTAAAGTGATATGGCTTGGCTGTGTCCCCACCCAAATCTCACCTGGAATTGTAATAAGCCCTATGTGTCAAGGGGAGGGCCAGGTAAAAATAATTGAGTCATGGGGGCAGTTCCCCCATACTGTTTCTGTGGTAGTAAATAAGTCTCATGAGATCTGATGATTTTATAAATGGGAGTTCCCCTGTACAAGCTCTCCTGCCGGCTACCATGTAGGATGTGAGTTTGCACCTCATTCCACCATGATTGTGCGGCCTCCCCAGTGATGTGGAACTGTGAGTCAATTAAACTTTTTTCCTTTACAAACTACCCCGTCTTGGGTATGTCTTTATTCGCATTATGAGAACAGACCAGCACACAAGGTGACAGTGGACTGAATTCATTTCTGGAACTTTGTCTTTTCCAAGCTCAGGTTAATGGCAGAATTCATTTCCTTGTGGTTGTAGAATGGAGGTCCCTGTTTTTTTGTTGCTGTTGTTGTTAACTGTTATCCAGGAGCAGACAGTGTTCAGCTCTTAGAGGTTGCCTGCAATTTCTTGCTATGTAGTCCCCTCACAAGCCTTCTCAAAGTCAAGATTTTTACTTTTCCAAACTCAACAATGGATAGTCTCCCTTCTGTCTGTTAAGACAGAGCCTTATATAACTCTACTGGGTTGAAAAATGTCCTCCCAAATTCATGTCCACTTGGAACCTCACAATGTGACTATATTGGGAAATAAGGTCTTTGCAGATGTAATTGGTTAAGGCAAGATGAGGTTACACTGGAGTAGGTAGGCCAGATCCAGTGACTGATGTGCTTATAAGAGAACACAGATACACATAGACACACAGAGGATGGCCATATGACAGTGGAGGCAGAAATTGGAGTTAGGGTGGTACAAGCCAAGGGACACTAAGTATTGTTGAAAACCACCAAAAGTTAGAAGAGGCAAGGACAGATTCTTTCTTTCCGGAAGAGCATGGTCCTACATACACTTTGACTTCAGGTTTTGTGGCTCCAGAACTATAAGAGTAAATTTCTATTGTTTTAAGATGCCAAATCTGTGTTAACTTTGTTTTAGCAGCCTATGGAACCTGATGCAATAATGTATTGGAATCATGAGAATAAGATTCCATTACCTTTCACAGGTAACAGTAACCAAATCAAGAGAGAATTTGTCATATTCTGTCCTTAAGAAGCGAGTCACAGTTTCCTCCTACCCTTTAGGGGAAAGGACTGACCAGGGGTCACCTTAGGATATGTCTTCCATGTCAGTGCAAGGTTATAGTGTTTTATCTTGTGAAAGTGGGTCTCTTTCTTGTGTAGGAATCAGCAGATCTATCTAATTCTCTTCACAATCTCTAATTATTTCAAAGTTATATACAAAGGTATTTATTGTATTAAAAAGTTTTAGCATAACTGATATCTTCTTAAATGATTGCTCTGTTCTTCAAAGTCTATTTATCTTGACATTAATTGTGCTCTTGTCTTAAAAAATTTATTTGATGATATATTAGCTATAGGTTGTTTTAAATGTGGAAGTTAGCTGATCATTTGAAAATACAAAGTGTAGCAACAGAGAAGTATATTAGCTAAACTCGGCCCTCTTAAAAGCATCATAACACCCCAAAGAGATGTTGGTCAATTGACTTAGTTTCATTGAGCACCTACCATATATTCAGCATCGTACCAGCTTATTAAGTGTATTTTAGTACATCCTCCTTATTTTAAATGATGAAATGATATGATTTAAAGTTGAGACTTGTCTGCCAGCAAAATCACTGCCTTCAGATTACTCTAGGATATGCTTACACAAAACATTAGTAGATTCCACCCATATTCTTAGATTTCACAGAACTGCAGGCCAGGGTTAGGAAGGACCAACAAAGCAAAGCAGTGACTCTATTTAACTGTTGGTATCCTGTAGTTTTTATATTGATTTGTGAATACAAACATGTACTTATAATATAAACTGCAGTCGGATTTGTAAACTAATGTTGCAGACACATCTTTTCTATTCTCAGATGAATTCCTTTGTGCAATATCAGACAAACATGTATTTTTCTTTGGGTACTGCCATAGAGCTCCCTTAGGGGATAGATTTCAGCCCTCAGCCTTGGGGAAAAATAAATGTTTCCTAGTATATGAACCTAGAGCATATCACATTGCATAACTATTCCAGTGCACAATCCTTGTGTATTTTGAAATTCTCTGAGGTTCAAATTTTCTATTCTGAGACAGTTTGTTTGAAACGCTATTTGGTTTTGTCAAAGATAGAGGCTTACATAGTTTCTTACATGATGCTGTCAAAATCCAGTTTCTAAACTACCCTTAATTTTATAAGACCACAGTTAAAAGTCTTTCTTCTTGCCAAATTCCTAATCTTTAACACTGCAGGAATAATCGTTTAGGGTCATGGTATTTAATACTGTTAGAAAGATGTATAAAATGCTATAATTTCAGAAAGATTATTCGCATAATATCCAACATGAAAAAATAAAGCACATTTTGGGTCCCTTAGCTTATAATTGCCATGTAATGTGAAAAGAAGTTCATATGGTCAAGTTTCCTGGCTCTGGATTTTAGCAAAATGAAGTAGTGTTCTATAGGTCCCTGATGCCATTTAGATGATCAAAGGCAGCATTTCTCATCTGAGCTTTCTGGATTGGGTCTCTCAATGAGGGAGGTCAAAATCTATAGATAAAATTACAAATTCTGGCCTGTGTTCAAAATTCGAGCTCTACTAATTTTTAGCTGTAAAATGGGATAGTATAGTAGAAAATTTGTAGTGATGAAATAGTGAATGTAAATTGCATAGCATGAAGTCTAGCACATAGAAATTGCTCCAAATATGTTAGCTAAAAAGAAGCAACCAAAATAAAATTTTTCACTCAATGCTTACTTCCAAGTGTCTGTGAAACAAACTTAAAGTATGGATAAATTTACAAATGATCTTGGGGTTTTCTTTGGCATAGAATACTTTGGAACCACACGTATAGGTAGGAAAAGAAAATTCATTGGCTACTTGCTATATGTTAGGTGATATGCTAGACTCTGCATAAAACATCAAATTCTCAAAATAAATTTATGAAATATCTTTGTTGTAATATTGAGGCTGAAATAATAATAATAATGGCAGAGCTGTAATTTAAGTCCACATTGGTATGGCTCCTTAATCTGAGCTCTACCACACTGCTCTCAAAAGGCAAAGTCCCCTGAAGTACATGACTTCTGTGGACCATACAGAGATAAAAAATAAGAATGGAAAGTGATGAGATTTCTGTCATACAAGTGGCATTTACTGTGAAAAGGCAAATATGATTTCAAGGAGTGAACAAGCCTAGAAACTTTTTAAGGGGCTTTGGAACATAATCAGAGATACGCAATCAGACAGATTCTCAGACTTATGCCTGTAGGTCTGTCGTATGCCTTCCCTCCCACATAGACATGCAGTCACAGTCACCTAGATGAGTTTGTGTCTATTGGGAATCTTGGGCTCATCTAGATGGGATGAAGGCAGCTTGGAATGGTGGATTGGAAATAATTACATTTGCATTTTGAAAATAAATCACATGGACTGCAGTGCAAAGAACAGATTAGAGAAAGGCCAGAGAGATGAACATGGGGAGATAGGTTAGGAAGCTCTCATCATAGTTCAGGTAAAAAATTGTTAGCGTAGACCAGTAGTAATCAAGAGAATAAAAAGTTAATGGATTTGAGTTAGAGGTTAATTAATGGGACTTTGTGATGGACTGAGTATGCATGGTGAAGTTAGGAAGGTTCAAAAAAACTGTTAGTTCTACGGGGTTCACAGAGATGGGGAACAAAAGTAGAATCACATTTTAGGGAATAGATCAATATACTAGTTTTTGCATATGATCAATTTGGATAGGCTGAGTTTGGATATGCTGAGTCTGAGACTTTCAAATGGAGATAAAGGATAGGGCATTGAAAATAAAGACGTAGCCTGGGCACAGTGGCTCATGCCTGTAATCCCAGCATTTTGGGAGGCTGAGGCCAGCAGATCACCTGAGGTTAGGAGTTCAAGACCAGCCTGAGCAACATGGAGGAAACCCCATCTCTACTAAAAATACAAAATTAGCCGGGTGTCACTGTAATCCTGGCTACTTGGGAGGCTGAGGCAGGAGAATTACTTGAACCCAGGAGGCGGAAGTTGTGGTGAGCTGAGGTTGAGCTATTGCCTTCCAGCCTGGGCAACAAGAGCGAAATTCCATGACGAGAAGAAAAAAAAGGAAGGAAGGAAGAGAAAGAAAGGAAGGAAAGAAAAAGGAAGAAGGAGAAAGAAACAGAAAGAAGGAAGGAAAAGGAAAAGAAAGGAAGGAAAGAGAAAGGAAAAGGAAGGAAGGAAGAAAGAAAGGAAGGGAAGATGTAAAGCTCAGAGAATACTTCTGGCTAGAAACAGCATTTGGGAGGATGACCACAGTGCTGTATGTATGGTGATGGAAGCTATGGACATGGTTGTTATTTTCTCAGAAAAGCATAGACTGAGACAGAAAGACTGTCTATCAACAGGTTTGTGGAAGTCCAGCCTCGCTATGGTTGGGTGGATGAGGATGAACCTGCAGAGGAAACATAGGATCCGTGATAAAGAAACAAAACCAAGTGACTGGGGTAAGAAGAATTGCAAAAGAAGACATGATTAACACATGTGGCAGTAGATGAGGACTGAAATATGTCCATAGATTTTGTAACATGGAATGAATTAGTAACCTTAGCAAGAGCTCTTTTGCTGAAGTAATGAAGAAAGTTTAGAGGTTAGAGGAATAAACAGTAGATAAAGAATTGAAACAATGTATAGAAAAAACCCAACCAACCAATCAAACAAACA